ATGATTCGCTGCTAGTGAGATCCTTTTAAACAACTATATCCTGTAAATGCATTTTCCCTGTTCTCAAACAGGACTCGTGTCTGCCTTGTAAGTCATCGCTATTGTGTAGTTGATCCAATATTATTCTGTAGTTAAATATCTGATTACATGTGTCATGAGAAGAAACAGCATGTTCTTGTTAGTGTTAACATCTATTTTAGAGATCTATTAGTACAGCAGTAAGTAAAAATGTAACGTTTTATTAGAAGGATTTCTTCTGCAGGCTACTAGTGAATCGGCTAAGATTTTTTTATATGGCAATTAAGCTGTCTTGTGTTTTGGTTTTTAGACATCTTTTGAACATGAATTTGGGTTGGGGGGGAGGAGGACCTTTAAAAGAAATAAATACAAAAAAACTCACCAGCCTTCTAAAAGTTCAGGTGGATCCACTTATGACAGGCAAGTGAATTATGAAAAAAGATTCATAGTAGAACTTTTTACCAGTGGAAAAATAAGTGGGATCAGAAAGGTTAGTTGTGACTGATATTTGGGGATAAAAACTAAACAGAACCACGCCAAAGTGTGGTCTTGGCACTCTGCTCTTTTAAAGGTATTTGAAGCCTTTTATCTCAGTTGACTGGGTTTGTCATTGGTATCAAAGGAAAATATTTGTCTGCTTTAGTCATCTGACCTCAGGAGTTTTTGTTTTATGCTGCCTGTGTAGTTAGTGGATTGGAATAATTTCCTCTAGAGGAAAAAAAATAATTGTGGAAATTTCAGATACTGCAGTGACAAAGCCTATAAGCATCTAAGAAGTTTGGAAAGTGTTAGAAAAAGATAGGTTCTTCGGGATTTTGGTGTTTTTTTTAGGCAGGCATCAAACTAAAAAAGGTCAGTATTTTATGGTTCTTTTGTATCAGACAGCTGCCACAAAGAGTACATGTTCCTCTTGGGAGTCCTGGTAAGGTGGTCGTTCTGGTTCTTGTATCAGTACTGTACAGATTTGCAGCAGAACAAGTGTCCTAGACAGGGCTAGAGGGAAGGGAGGATGGCTGCATTGACTTGATCTACCAAAATGTCAGGGAGAAAGGCAGGGAGGAAAGAATCATAGAACGGTTTGGGTTGGAAGGGACCTTAAAGCTCACCTGGTTCCAACCCCCCTGCCATGGGCAGGGACACCTCCCACCAGACCAGGTTGCTCACAGCCCCATCCAACCTGGCCTTGAACACTTGAATTTCTTCCTACTATCTCATCTAAATCTTCCCTCTTCCAGTTTAAAGGCATTGCCCCTTGTCCTGTCACTCCCTGCCCTTGTCAAAAGCCCCTCCCCAGCTCTCTTGTAGCCCCCCTTTAGGTACTGGCAGGCTGCTCTGAGGTCTGCCCGGAGCCTTCTCTTCTCCAGGCTGAACAACCCCAACTCTCTCAGCCTGTCCTCACACCAGAGGTGCTCCAGCCCTCGGATCATCTTTGTGACCTTTCTCTGGACCTGCTCCAACAGGTCCATGTCCTTCTTGTGCTGAGGACCCCAGAGCTGAAGGCAGTACTGCAGGGGGGTCTCACCAGAGAATTTTTTTCAGAATTTTTCCCCAGGATTAGGTTTATGGTTATGAGCTGCTCTATAGAGATACAGCCTGTCCTTGAACAAAAGATACAGACATTCTTTGCGTGGTTTACGTAATGAGTTTTTGCAACCAGGTTTGCAGTGAAGACTGATTTGAGTAAGTTTTGTTCCTCTGTTGCCTGACCTGGCCATCTTAACATTTTAGATTGGTGGACATCAAGTGCTTGAAGGTCATAGAAATGTTTTTAACTTATGCTGTCTAATTCAGTGTTTGGTTTAGGCTTACCATAAAACTCTTTTAAGATTCTGCTGCTTTATTTGCATTTGATTTCTAGACAGATATCTGTTTGTCTTAATTTGTGTTTAGATAAGTGGCAAAGAGCATACCTTCTGAATTGTGTAATGTGGGAAGAAAGGAAACGTGTGCTTTCTTCTTTCTTCCCTTCCTCCAGAAGTGTGTCTTTTTAATGTATGTCATTTGAACATTACTGCTTTCTATTATTTTGTTAGTTAAAATAACATACAGAGTCACCCTATACTTAGGGTGGCATCGCTTAAAGAATTACGTGTGTTTTTTCTGCATTTGGGGTGTGTGTTGACATCCAGATGGGGAGCAGATCAATTCAGACATGGTAGAAAAGCTGAGGTAGGTGCTCCAGAGGCTATGGATTAGCATTTTTTCCCTATTCTAAAAAACAAATCAAGTATTAAAATAAAACACTGAAAAAGATTTATTAGATTTATAATACAGTTTAGAGAAGTTGCAGAATATATTTTAAAATAGTTCAAAATATAAATCTCGAATATTATAAATCTGTTAAATCTAATTAGATTAGTATTATTTATAAAATAATTGTATTAGATAATATAATAAATCACAAGATGTGCACTTATTATGTTTTAAGTGATAAAGGATGACTGTTAAATGTTACTTCCTAGTTATCATCTCCATTGGATATTTAGATCTGTTGATTCTAAATGAAGAAAACCCTTCTCTCGAAGGCTGCTTGACTTTAGTTGTAGGATTGCAGAGTATTTTTTCCCATATATGCACATCCTTCCTTCTCTTTTTCAGCTGTGCCTGGTCGTCCTTTACGCTTTGCATAGGAGCGGCTTTCCTCTATTGCTGAGAATCCTTTGAGTGAGGGCTTAGTGTTGAGACACATCCACTGAAATGAATTTGCTGTGATACAGTTGTGCTTAGGCATCTGGCCACATTAGTCTGTGTTTGTTTTGGTTTTGTTTGTTTGGTTGGTTTTTTTACTTTTAAACCCACAAAGCAAAACCCTCAAAGCAACCAACCAACAAAAAACACCCCCCCAACCAAAACAAACACCGCATTGTCCCTCTTACCCTCCCACGAAAAAACCAACCAACCAACAAAACCCACGACAAAAAACCTACAGCAGAACCTTTGAAGCAATTCTCAGATTTTTATGCAGGCTTTTGGGGTTTTTTGAAGTAAGTTCAAGGGTTACTTATGGTTTTGGTATGTTTCATTCAAAATTTGTAGAATTCAGTCTGATACAAGCAAAACTTCCTGTAGTGGTGTAGTTTGTTATCTTCTTTTTCTTTTTTTTTTTTCCCCCCTTTTTTTTTTTAGTATTTTGGAAAGTAGATCATGGACGCAGCAACGACTAATGCTTCAGAGGCATATATACAGAAGAGAATGAGACTTCTACCATGCTTAAGGTCTCTTGAGTCCTAGGAATCTTGCACAACACCACTCCAAAACTAGAGCGATCTTTCAGGATTGTTTGTTCTGTGATTTGTGAAGGTTGGGCTCTTACTTGTCTACTTGCTGTGAGGTGCTCCCCTCCCTCCCCGCAGTCCAGTCGCAAGCAGTTAACAATTTAATGTGCATCTTGCCCATCGTATGGTCCTTACAAGTCCGTACTACTAACTAGTCCGATGTTTGTCCTGTGTCAGTGCTGTGCTAGGGTTGTCTGCCGATAACTTCATTTTTAGTGTTCTTGACTTGAGCTTCTCAAACGTGCTGATTACAGTAGATGCAGGGTCTACTTAAGAAGAACCTGAAATGTTATAGCCCTTTGGGTGTTTGTAATATGTGGTTTGGTCTGTGTTCAAAAGATAGCTGATGTATTTTGCATTGAAGGTCTGTTCTCCCTTTTCTTCTAATCCTAGAGAACAGTTTTGTCTTATAGAACACATTCTTACAAGTATTTTATATGCCCTCAAAACCAATGCAGGAGGAAAAATTGACTGGTTTTAAAATACCTTTCTTAAGCTGGTAATGTGATGTAGTTGTCTGGAATAGCAGGCTTCTTAAACATTATCATTTAGTAGTTGCTCTGTATTCTGGAGCAGTCCTTTTTATTTAAGATGTTGAATTTTGAAACTTTTTTGTGGCATAAATTCGATTTTTAGGTGCAGTACAGAAAGAGCACTTTGTTATGCTCTAGAGGTAAAATACGTGGTTCATTCTTTCAGTCAGGCTCCAAGCTTCATGGGCTATCGTTTTGATGTGGTCATCATGTTGTTGCTAAATCGCTAAGCCATGTTTCACTTTTTATGGGCAGTAATGAGTTGCAAATCAATAGACTGTTCTCCATGGCCGAGCTCATAGAGATGTTATAACTTGGTATAAGACGGCATTAACAATATGACTAACACTTGTTTCAGTAGTCATTTTAGACATTTGTGTATAGTCTTAAATAAAATTTGGTATGGTCCGCTTAATTCAGATGGAACAGGATGAAGGTGAAGAGTCAAGCATAAAGTGCTTTCTGGACATTTAAGGCTAGAGCACTAATGGTAGAGTGGCTTTTTTGTTTGCATTTTGTTTTTTAACTATTCAAAATTGTATCACTGAATAATAGCTATTGTGATCAGACGTCAGAAGAGCTGGTTTTGCTTTTTCTGGCATTTAATCAGAGTTTTAAAATTTTTTTTTTTAGATTTTTTTTTTTTATTGTGCAGTGATAGAATTATGCTAGTAGTTGGTAATCAAAATAATGTATATGAGAAAATTGGGAAAAGGTGAGTGGACTAAAAAATGGTTTCCAAGATAAACTAAAGTGTGCTAAGCTACTGTGGAGATACTGCTGACGATGTGCCAGGAGATGAGATTGCCTGGTGGGAGGGAGAAGAAAGGGTGTCGGGTGTTTCTCCAGCCATAGCTCCCTGTTCCACACCGTGTTAACAGACCTGATGTTTCTGAAGGCAGCAACAAGAGCGTGATGGTCAGGGACCGGCTTCGTATTAACAGCAGCCCCAGAATGATGGGGAGAGAGGGAATCAAACCCAATAAAGCACAGAGCATGTGCTAATGCTAGTTTTCTCATGGTAAGCCCAGCTGCAGAAGGGATGTGAACCACTGTCTAACCAGTCTTCTGGTTTGTGAAGGCTAAATTCTTGAGGTTTTTTAAGTATACGTTGTTTAGCCAATGACTCTGGCTAAGGAGTTGCTTGTTTAGTTTTTAGAGTTGGACCGGCTATATGGATGATACTCCTTGGTATATGGATGATGTAGCTATGTGGAAAATAGTAATAGGAAGTTATAACGGTATATGTATTGTGTGCCTTGCTGAAGTGTTGTCTTAGGTCATGAGAGCACGTGATTTAAATAAGTCTAGTTCAGTGCTAGAGTCCGGTTTCCACAGAGCAGACAAAATTACATCTTTTTATTGAAACCGCAAACCAGTAATAGTATAACTTATTAATCTCTTCTATAATTTGCACGTCGTAATAGATTAATGCCTTTCACTTTTAGGTGCTGGAGATCAGAATTTATTTACTTCCTTATATCCTACGCTTTCTCAGCAGCTTCCTAGAGAACCCATGGAATGGAGGAGGTAAACTTACATTTTATTCTGTGATACTGTTTCAGCGTGTGTTTTTAGACTTAGGTAAGCATGTATTTGTTGTGCTCCGAGAAGCTCTTACCATAAATGGAGTTGAATATAGCAACTGACTTGAAGAGAGGAGAACTTGGATAATCGAGGTAATGTTGTGCACTTCAGGATGATCATTTCCACACATCAATTATGTTGAACCTCACCTACTGAAAAATGATAGTAATGCTGTGTTTCTCTTTTGGTTTCGTGGTCTGTGGGTTTGTCTTGGTGTGTGCTCTGATGTGCTTTGGCAGCCATGTTCTGAAAGTGGCATGCTTTCTTCTCAACGAGAATGTAGGTAGAATTTATGTGGAATTAGCTGTTCTTTCCTGCGAAGAGTTCGGTATGGCACACTGTTTTTTGATTAGAAAAAAATATTTTGCAAATGTTCTTATTTGGAATTTTCTACTTTTAGAGGTCTTAGAGATACAGAAAATGTTGTATGAAAGCTGAAAAGCTTCTAGCTCCTGTTCTTGCAAAAAGCAGCATCTATCTCATTTCAAGCGATACCAAATTTTAGTTAACTTTATACAAACTGCAGTAAGCGCAGTTTGTGAGTTTCCAGTACCAGAGTGTTTCAGTTTATTCCTCTTCCCCAAAATACTTGTTCATTTTTATATTCTTCTATGTATGTCTCATGCACTAATTTCAGTTTTTAAACTTTGTAGGTCTTATGGCCGTGCTCCGAAGATGATTCATCTAGAATCTAACTTTGTTCAGTTTAAAGAGGAGCTACTACCCAAAGAGGGGAATAAGGCCCTTTTGACTTTTCCCTTTCTTCATATTTATTGGACAGAATGTTGTGTAAGTATTAGGAAAATGTCACGAAAAACTGAGTATTCCTATTTAAAAATGAGTTTCTGCTTGTGCTCTGTGGTATTTTTCATTTGCTTTTCATGCTTGTTTGAACAATTAAGTCTGCATTGCATAAGCATGCATACCCAATATTATTGAAAACAAAACTTAGTTTGAGTACTTTTTGCCATAAGCAGTATTTCTTTGTAATGTCGCTTGACACTAAGAGCACAGGCTTTTGAATAACCTACTTTCGGTACTTTGTCACGAAAAAAACCCCAGGATTTAACAGTGTTACTGCGGTAGCACAGCACACTTGCTTCATAATACAGAAATGTGGCTAGAGTATTTCAGTTATGATCTATTCACGAGGTTAAATCTTAAAAATATGCATTTTTTTCTTTAGTGCATCTTCCATATGTGTCAGGTATTGATATATGTCAGCAATCTAAACTGGGAAGATTTGGAATGTCTTAATCCTGTTTATCTACAGTTCACTGCTTTTTGGTTGGCCTCTGTTATGAATTAATTATCCAGGTGAAGGATAAAAGTGACACATGATCTGTGACCAATCAAAAACTATCCAGAACAGCCTTAAGAGTTGTCTGAATTGATCTGTTTAAAACCAACCCAGAAGCCAAAAAAGTGCCAAAGAACGCTTCTGTGTGGTTTTGATTTTTTCTTTCTTTCTTTTTTTTTTTTTTATGAAAAAGCTTTAAAACAGCCTAAGGTTTGAGCAGTGTTAGAAGGCACAAATACCACATTTCCATTACTAGGTGAGAATAAAACAGTTCAGCTTTGTAATTTCAAACATGTTTTTATTGTAAAGTGCAAGAATGTGTAAAATAAGAGTTTAAATTATGTTTACAAATCTTAATTTCAGTAATCTGAGGAATGATAATATACCAAATACTAAGATATGTTTACTGTTAACCAAAATACTAGAAAGAAGCTAAGTTCGAGGACCAAACCCTTGCTATACTTTACCTCATTTGATTTCTTTCAGTAAGTGAACTTATTGTCACCAATTCTATTTGATATGTCTTTCTGTTTGTCTTCTGTTGGAACAAATTTTGCCGTTTGAAATTGTTCAGAATGTCTGTTTGATTTGATGATTCACCACTTCTCATCCCAGGACACGGAAGTGTACAAAACTACAGTCAAGGATGACATCACCAAGTGGCAGAATGTTCTCAAAGCTCACAACTCAGTGGACTGGCTAATTGTGGTAGTGGAGAGTGATGCCAAGAAAAAGAATAAAACAAATATCCTTCCCCGAACCTCTATAGTAGATAAAATAAGAAATGACTTCTGTAACAAACAAAGTGACAGGTGAGCATTCTTTTACTTGCAAACATTTTAGCCTTTTGGGTAGTGTGCCGATTTAAAAACTCAGCTCCCTGTGTAACAGATTCCTTGCTCATGCAAGGACTTTCCTTGATGTCCAGCATTCAACCTGGTGGTACCGTAAGACCAGTGCTTTGAAGAAGACTGACCCAAGCAATAAAGAGAGAAGTTTATTTTCAGTTCTTCCTGGATTCGTGATGGCTTTGAAATGTGTTTCAAAAAGCTTTCAAGTATCTCCTCCTGGCTAAGAAAGGTTTAAGGGGAACAGTGTGGTAACAATCAATTTTTAGAACTTCAGGGGTTTTTGTTTGCCTAGGTACTTGCAACAGTGTTACCAGAATTACAGGTAGTGGGAATGAGGTGAGAGGGGAATGTGAAGCCAATTGGGATTATTTTTTACCATTGTACTTTCTACCTTTCACTTAATTGCCTTTTCTTTATGAGATATTTGACTTAAAGTCAGTTTCTTCAGATATTTTTATTCTAAGGAAAACAATAATGGCTGTATGAAACTGTTTCTGCTTTCATTAAAGTCAAAATACACAAATCTTCATTTGAAACCAACTTTAATAGATACTGACTTATTCTGAAACACTGCACTGAATTATTACATACTACATTTTTTTTCTTTTAACCTTAAAAGTTAAATTTAAACAGGAGATTTTTCCCTTAAGAATGAGTGACAGGATAAACATTTGAAGTTGAGAAGAGTAGATGGAAGCACTCATTGTACCTTGGTGTGAGCTGACAGTGACCACCAGGTCAGCGTGTTATAACATGCTGTACGTCAGCAGCACTTTCTTTGTACCTAGACAGTGTTTGGTATGTTACAGGATTATTTAGGCAAATAGTTCGAGCAACTCTGATTCACTTTACTTTTGGTTTCTAACCAATTGATTGGCTTGCTTTAATTATTTTGCTGTAGGATAAGATGACTTTTCTAACCAGAAATGGTATTTTACTTGGTGAGAGATTTCCTTCCTTTGGAGATATTGGTAGTTTTGTGAATGTTACTAAATTGTGATAGCAAAACCAAGGAAAGAAAATGCTCTAAAAAAGGCTAATTTATTTGTGAATTAATGAGATCTGTTTATTTATTTATTTATTTTCTGAGAAAAGCAGTGGAAGTTTCAGCACATAGGATGTGTAAAAATAAATTGAGATACTGTAAGAATATATTATGGAGGATTATTTTAAATGACTTAGAGGAAAGGCTGACTATATGTGATCTAATGGATCTTGATTTGTATCTTGCATAAACCTTGCCAGGAGTAACTATAATTACCGTTCTGCTGATTTGTATTGCTAAGCGGACTTTTTTTTTTTTCTTTGATAGCTGTAGCATTACTTATGTTTAAGTAATTAGAATACTGTATCCATTATTTGCTTAAAAAAAGTAAAGCTTTGTAGTACTCATTTTGTGGAAAATACTTAACTCTTCTCAAAGTATGTCGCAGACTTAAACATACATTGGAAAGTTTTAAAAACAGCACCAAAACCTCAACCAACCAAAAAAAAAATACCCAAAACCTCAACATACCTGCCCCCAAATAAACATAACTCTCAACCTTGGTTTTTGTCTCTGATTAGTGTTGAATGAAAAGCTAAATTTTGTTCACTCTGAATCTGTCAGGTGTGCACAGTATTCAAATGTGCATTTATATTTTTGAGGAGGTAAACATGAAATTCACATAGTTTTTATCAATCTCTTTACAGATGTGTGGTACTTTCTGACCCTTTGAAAGACTCTTCCCGTTCTCAGGAATCTTGGAATGCCTTCCTGACCAAACTCAGGACGTTGCTTCTCATGTCTTTTACCAAAAACTTAGGCAAGTTTGAAGATGACATGAGAACTTTGAGAGAGAAAAGGACTGAGCCAGGGTGGAGCTTCTGCGAGTATTTCATGGTCCAGGTAAGAGTCTGTTTTTATTGAGGGAAGTACTGAGTCCTAGTTTTAATAATGGCATTTTGTTGTTGTAGTTGACTTTTTGGTACTTTTAATGTTCCACTCACTTTTTGAGCGTAGGGGCAGGAAATAAGATGACCGGTATAAAAGCAGCATTTTCAGCTCTTGCTTGCAGCAGGTTTGTGTTACATTGTATTACAGTGCTATTACAGAAGCAGAATCTTTCCAGGCCTGTCAAAATTTTATGAACCTTAACGGAAGCAAGCAAACTGCATCTGGAAAGAGTTTTAGTAGTTGCTCTTGAATTGTGGGTAAATATCTCATTACTGTGCCTGTGCGGAGACGCAAACTTGTAAAATGCCTTGAATTCTATTTTTTTTGTATTTCTAAATATATCTTTGTTTTAGCTGGTATACGGAAAAGCAAGAAGCTCCTGTTCAATAGAATTAAAGGTCCTGATTCCTTTGGAATTTTCTGGTCCCTGTGCAGTACCATTTTCCGCACCAATTCTACCTCATCTTCGTGTCTCCTTTGACTTCATGCACTACCTCTTGCATATGATATATCTAATTCTCAGACTTTTTTCTGCTTCCCACTTTAGCTCTCTTCTCTGTGTACAACTGAACCTTTATTGATACTGCAATTGGTGCCTTCACTGTGCAAACAGAGGGGAAATAATTCTTACTGTTATGGGAGATGAGTCTTCAGCGATTTTTTTTTTTTTTGCCTTTTTTTTTTTTTTTTTTTTACTCAAACTTTTAATAGATGTATGAACAGTATCTTGTAGTGAATCAGGATCTGGATACACAACAGAATTTACTGGCATAGCTGTGTGACTTAATCTTCTTTTGTGAACCTCCCTGTGTTAGCAAGAAATGATGCATCTGCTACAGTGGTGGGTTTTCCGGTATGTGTGAATGCTGGAAGGGGAATAATGTTGGAAAAAGTAGTTCCCGGAGCTGGATGGATGGATGGGGGCAGGCTGTAATACCAGACCTGACCAGTATCAGTAACATGCTCCTTATATTGCTTGTGTGTCAAAAGGAGGAACTGGCCTTTGTCTTTGAGATGCTGCAGCAATTTGAGGATGCACTAGTGCAGTATGATGAACTGGATGCCTTGTTTTCTCAATATGTTGTCAACTTTGGGGCTGGTGGTAAGTGTCTTAAAATGTTAAATAAATGTTAAGTGTATTAATTTCTTCACTGTGCTTTCACAAACATCCCAGTGCTTTGTGTAATATATGTGTACTTGGGAGAAAAAATAGTACATTGCAGTGAAAATGCACTAGGCAGTTTGTGCTCTTGTTTTATGCTGTATGCAAACTCAAATGTACATCAGTTATAGTCTTATTAAATTTTTGGTTTTTTATCTCTGAGGCTTAGAAGGAATTTTTAATGAAAACCCGCGTTTTGCTCGTAATTGATGATGGTTACAAACACAGCCCTGAAACTCTGTAATTACCTAAGTATCGATCTGGCTGAGATACAGTTGCTGTTTTCACAGCTCACTGCTAAGTTATTCAATAAAGAGCTTCCTGGAGAAATGTGCTCAGTTTTGCCTCAAATTACATGAGACGTTTGATAATCACTAGAAAACTGAATAGAAATATGTCCTTAATCTGCACTACAGAAGATTTAACTTTCTCTTCAAGAAAAAGTACTGTGCAAGAAGTATCAAATAACTTTAAACTGTTTTAATGAGGTAAAGCATGTGTGGTTATAGAACAGCTTTAATCAGGTGTGTGTTATGAATTGGGTGAAAATATAGTGCAGGAGTAACTGCAGTGAAATATATTTGTCCTGACTGAACCTAATGCTATACCTGAAAGGGGGGGCACATCTGTCCGTGATAGCTGAGTAAGAAATACTTAAGTAGATAAAGCTTGTTTATTTTGAATTTCGGGTATGCTTATAATTGCTAAGAAATACATTAAAAACTGATTGCCACTATACTAATAACAAATATGGAATTAAGACTAAATGCCTATGGGGTTTGAATGTTCTGAAATTCAGTTATTTACTTGGCTGTGGAAGTTCTGATGTTTTTTTGTTTTGTTTTTGAAGATAAGACATTAAGTCATTTATCCATGTGATAAACTTTAGAAAGAATAAGCCAGCTTACCACCTCTGGAGGGAGGAAGAGGAGGCTTTGATAGAAAGCAGTGGTTGATTCTTGGATATTAAATTTATTTACTTAGATGGTGCAAACTGGCTGACGTTTTTTTGCCAGCCAGTGAGGAGCTGGAATGGTTTAATTCTCCGAAAACCAATAGACATGGAGAAGAGAGAGCTAATTCAGAATCAAGAAGCTACTCTACTGGACTTGCGTAGTTACCTATTTTCTCGCCAGTGCACGTTATTAATCTTCCTGCAGAGGCCGTGGGAAGTTTCCCAGCGAGCACTGGAGCTTCTTCACAACTGCGTGCAAGAACTCAAGCTATTAGAAGTGAGTCTGTGTAATGTATTCCTTTATGTGAATGATTTTTATGATGATCTAACAAAATTTTTGAAGTTTATGTGTCAGTGACTGGCTGTGAATTATCAAAGTGATGCTGTAATAACAGTGCTAGAGTTGAATGTTTCATCGTGCGTATGTCTTTGGAAAGAAATTTGGAGACACCACATAGGAACACCAAACCTGTATTTAGTTAAAGTATTCTAGTCTTCACCTGGAAAGTTGACTACTTAAGCTGGTAGGTGATTTGTCTGCTTCTTTACTGGATTTATTACCAGTCTTATGAACTATAGTTTCCATCATTTAAATCTATAACAGTGTTGTATTGAAGAAAATAAGGCAGAGTGGTTAATATGCTGATATGCAGGCTAGTAGTCTGTAACAAAAACTTTTGAAGTAGAAACAGTATCCACAGTAGGGCTTCTTACTGCCATGCAAATTGGATGCTGCTTTGATCGCCTTTTGTGATTCTTAATTTGTGATTCCTTTTGGTGCGCAGTAAGGCTCTTCGGTGTTATGCATGTCTCCCTGGCTACCTCATCCGATGACAGAAGAGACAGAAACAAGTGACAGCACTCAAAGCTTTTTGTCCTGTTGCATGCCTCCATGCTTTACCCCTCCTCCCTCCATACTTTAGTTTCTACTGGTGTTTTTTAATCCTCTAAAGAGGTTTTATCTGGGATGTTGTACACTGAACATCCTCCATGTATGACCACAGGCATCTATGAATTGAAATACATCTTTAAGAGCAGCGTAGTGTGCATGAGAATATTTCTGGATTTCACCTTGTGGCTCATCCATGTTCTTAATCTTGTGGGTGTCTGGTTCTCTGTTAGCTTTATCTGTGCTATTATAAACAGTAGCTGTTAACTTTTGCCTGTCTGACATTGTGGTAGTAAGTTCCATAAGTTCCACCTGTTCGTCTGCATTTAAAAACAGAAAAATATACTTCAGATGTATTGCTGACATCTTCATATATTCTAAAACTAACATGTAATTCCCATAGATAGTTTTGTGTGTGTTTTATGGTGGTTTTTCCTTTCCAAAATAAATACATGCAGCCTTCTAAATCTCTAAAGGTACTTCCTGCAGTTCCCTTTTTGCTCCATCCCAAGTCTGTCCTCTGCCTCCAATGTTTGGGGCTCTTCTCTGCAGTGTCTCGTATTTCTGCTGTTTGTCATGGTGTGGTGATCCAAAGGGAATGCGGGTGTTCAGGCTGCGAGACGGTGACACTGATTTGTGCATACCATGTAGTTATCCCTGTTGTGATCTTTTTTTCAGTACAGGCAAACCTCTTAATGTGACTTGACACCACCGAACATGTAGCAGAAATCAGAACTACTCTGTTCTACTCTGTTCTTATGATCTTTTTCTTCCTGAAAATTCTTTCAGAGTTCAGATTTTTTTTTTTAATGCATTGTGCTTGCATGTTGAACTTTCCTATCACATTGGTCAATTACCTAGCTTATTATGGGTTTCAAGACTTTCATAGTCTTTCTAAGAGCAACATTTTTGCATTGTTTATGAACAGGATTTTGAGACACCTTTATTGTGATTATGTTTCAGATCTTTAGTTATGCTCATCTTTATCTTGATTCTTGAAATATTCTAGTATCAAACTCTTCTATCTTTATCTGTCATGTCCTGACTGATAATCCCTTCTTGGTCTTTTTTCTTTCTTTCTTTCTTTGTGGGTTGGTTTGTTTGTTTTTATCTCTCTTCTTTAATTAGTTGTTCATGACGGGTGTCTTATCCTCTTATTAAACTTACTGTTGTGAAGGCAACTTAGAGTAATTTCTCTCATTTTTTAAAAATTTACTTCTTAGTCTGCTTTTAATTTTAGTCTCAGTTAGATCTGATGTCTCCTTAGGAAAGTAATAATACATTTTCAGAAATTTTTCCTGCTTTCTTTAGGCTTAGTTTCCAAATTTTTGGAATTTTTCCAAGTACTAGTACCTATTAGTCCTCTTTTTCTTTCATCTTGGTGAATATATCAAATGTAGTTAATATAATCACTGTTTAGTTGCTTACCTGTCCTTGTTTTATGAACTAATATATATAAATTATTCAGGAGGTATTGAGAGTTGGCCTGGTTTTTGTGTATTCTTTAGAATAAGGTCTTCCAAGAGGCTCTGCTGCATGGTATCAAGAAAAGTATTTTGCTGAAGTATTTTCTCATCTGACTGATGTTTATTTCCCAGTTAATTTTATCTGTTCATCTTCAGGTCTCTGTTCCTCCTGGAGCTTTGGATTGTTGGGTATTTTTGAGTTGTTTGGAAGTCTTACAAAGAATAGAAGGCTGCTGTGATAGGGCTCAAATAGATGCAAATGTTTCCCACACAGTTGGCTTATGGAGCTATGCCACTGAGAAGGTAAGCAAATGATGTGTTGCAGTCGTGGTATTAAAATTTTGAAGCGGACTATTTGTTTCTGTGGAATGGATTTTGTGCTTTTTACTGTGGAATTTAATACAGGGTTCTGTATATTGTCTCAAGTCTAGTCTAGATGAGACATCCAGGTTTATATCCACTTTTTCCACTGTCACACGAGGCCTGGGAGTAACTAGGGTGCGTTCACCTCTTTGTCTGTCCCCTCCTCCCTCACCACTAGTTTGATAACGATAGGCTAATTAAACTCCAGAATGAGCTCAGTCCATGTCGACAGAGAGAAGGAGCATGAATTTCAGTTATAGCAGGAGAAGCTGCCCAAATTTGGATGCATTTACCATTGTAAGTAGGGATTACAGCAATCTATTTACATAGTTCATTATTTCTTCGTGATGTTAGTATGGTAGTAATAGACCCCTAACTTCACTGAAAGTGTTACCCTTGGTGGCTTGTGAAAGAGGCAAATAAGTAATAATTGGCAATTTTTCAGTTACCACCCCTTAACATAAAGTAAAAGTTGTAAAGTGGCCTTTTCAGTTTGGTTAAGCTCCTTCCCTACATAGGTGAATGCCTTTTCAAGTTCCACTTACTCTGTTTCTAAGAAAGAGTTGGTGTCTGAGGTTGCTCCTGCTTTCCACTGTTGAAAAACAGCGTAGAAAGATGAGAAACTCCAGAAATGATTGAAATAGCATACTGTGATCTTCATGGGTGTTTTTGAAGACCAGCGTAAGCTCATCCTCTTGTTTGCATAGCCTGTAGAGTATGTTCTGTTTATTTTAATCATAGTTTGTTCATATTTCAGTAAACTTAGGAATCCTCTAACTGACCCTAGGAGGCCCTTGTCTTATTATAAAAGCAGAGAAAGGCAATTTCACCTTGAAGAATTACTGTTTTAAAAAAAAAAAGCGGGAGGGGGTGGGGAATCAGAATAAAGGAAACAAAGACTTGTTTAAAGTGGTGATGGGTGAATCACATTCTTCCCATGCTTCTTACGTGTTTCTATGGAAGGTGTGTACCTGAGTTGGAAATGTTCCTCCCATTCATAGCTCTTCTAAGACAAAGGCTAAAGGGAGAAATTGTAGGATAATGAGTAGCAGTAAGGTGGAACGGGCTGAGTGAAAGAAATTTAGCAACTAGGGACAAAATTAAGTGGGATTTAAAAAGTTAATGGCCATCCCCATTTTATATAGTGTAGAGTAATATGACAAGGCAAGAACTTTCTTGTTTTGTGGGCTTACCTTAGTAGTTAATCGAGTTAATTCTAAATGAATTAACCAGATGACCAGCAGAACTGAACTTCTTTAAGACAGTATCCTCTGCTGACTTCTCGGTATCAAGCATACCAGCTGCTGTCTAGAAGGGATTTTATGGTGGTTGTGTGGCACTGTTTTAACACCGTTAGCTGTGCTAATGATCTCTTTTTCAGGAAGATTTTTGCCTCAATACAATACTCTGGGTGAATTTGTGAGCTTGTCTAATCAGTGTACTGGAGCCTGCCTGCATTTCCTGATTGTATAGTTTTCAAGAATACAGACACAGTTATTAGAAGTGATCTTTGGTGTTAACTGCCAAACATCGTAAGCTTTGTCCATGTTTATATGGAAAACCAGAAAGATTTGTTCTGATTAGGTGTTGGGCATGTAGGGACGTGTGTGTATACGCGTCTGTTTCAATGATATTTGAGTCAGTAACTTGCATGCAACTTAATTCTTAATAAACTTGATTTCTACTGTGAGAATAACAGTTACTTTTGAAAGATTCTCTACTTTCTTCCCATGAAGCAACTTTAATACAGATCTTATAAACAGTATAATATGACAGCAGTGGAAATGTATTGTAGGAGCGATGTAATAGAATAGAATTCTATGATTTTGTAGCCTATTGAAAACAAGCATCTGGTTTCTCTTATAGTTAAAATCTCTGGGTTATCTGTGTGGACTTGTGTCAGAGAAGGGACCCAATTCAGAAGACCTTAACAGAACTGTCGATCTGTTAGCAGGGTTGGGAGCAGAACGCCCTGAAACAGGTATTACTGGGAATGTACGCGTTCTTTCTAATAACTGACATTGTCTTAAAAACATAGCATATAAATACATCAGTAATAGTAATTTCCCAGTGTTGCTATATATATATAAATGTTGATAGAACTCTGTTATCTCTTACAAGTTCTTTTAATGTATGTCTAGTACTTTAAATTATCAATGCATCTCCTTACTGTTGCAAGTATAAGTTTTTCCATTAATACTTCACCTAATGCTTTCATTAAAAATATTAAAATAATTATGAAATTATTTTATTATTAAAAATAAAACTATTTGAAAAAGAAATGGAGCATCCTTGAGCTGATGCAAATAGATAACCTGCAACTGGAGCTACAAAGTGATATCATTTGAGTTGAAGTGATACTGTGTATGTGGCTGAACAATCAAAGTTATTTACTCCTTGTGGATTTTATCACTCACGAAGATATTTCTGAAGGGAAGAAGCTTTCAGATGTTAAATATGCTAGAACAATTAGTATCTTTGAAGCATTAGCTGACAAGCTGATTCTTCATTTGCTCTTGCGGGTATGATGATGTATGATTCTTAATTCAGTGCTATGGTGCCTGTTGTATTTATTTAAAATGAGGGCTTTTTTCTTCTAGAAATATTGACATATATTTGGTCCGGCAAAGACTTTTAAATTGAGCAAGCTCCTTCAGAAAAAAACTTTGTCTTGCTACCCATTTTCCTTTGAAGTACATTGTTTAAAGTAGTAAAATCTCTTTAAATTACAGTATACTTATGTCATGCTGATTTATAAAACCAGCAGTGGGGAGCTGTGAGAATATTAATCTTGGCATAACATGGTATTTAAGTACAATTGTGTGTGTTTCTAGGTTGAATGAATGTTCTGAAATACTGTGTGGAGAAGTTAGTACAGTTACTGTATTGCTGCTTGCCTTTACCCTGCTGCCCTGAACATGACTCGTGTGTGTGCACACACAGAGTTGTGAAACAGCCTTTCGTGGTCCTCTTTTACAGCCTGGGGAAGAAACTCATGATCTGTCTCTAAGTGTTAGTGATGTTTCCCGCATAAAATTAGTTTTGAGTTTTCTCTCCACTTCCTACCAAAGGAAAAAGTAGTGTGTGTGTGTGTGTGTTATTAAAACAGGAATGTATTTCTAAGTGAGGCTTCTTGTTCTGCTCTTTTCTAAAGCCAATGCATCACAGAGCCCTTATAAGAAACTTAAAGAGGCCTTATCATCTGTAGAAGCTTTTGAAAAACACTACTTAGTAAGTATGAATTTTGGTTATTTCTATTAGTATTGCTTGTTTATGTTATGGATGGAATAGGGCCAAATTTTTCGAACCTGGAAAGGTAACATTGAGAACGTGAATCTGTATTTTGGTATCAAAGGTTATTTCTTACACACTGAACACAACAAGGCTGTTTTCTTTTACAACTGGTACCCTGTATGGGCCCTAAGTTTCAAATATTTGGATTAACTTTAATATTTACAGTTATTAGTTGGAGGTTATTATCTGTAAGTATTATACTTAGTAAAAAAGCCAATGTCATGGCTAAGTACCATATTCTGCTATCTGAAATTGAAAACTAATTGAATCTTCCTGAGAAGAATACTGATGTGTGAATTCAGCTTCCTTTTGAATGGTTTAGACTTGCATCTTGCAATGGGTGTTACATGGTTTAAGTTTATATTGTTGAATTTTTTATGTAAACTGTGGGACATCTGTGGATAATAGAGTTGGAGCTGGCATAGATTGAAACATTAGAATTCTCATTGTGCTTTAATATGCATGCTCATTTCCTGACAGCTTCGTTATTGAGGAGCCATTGCAATGATCTTCTGGGTTTTTCAGTAAAAGGTTGTTAAATAAAACACACACCCCCCACCCCCCACCCCCCCAAATTTCACAAGAGTGTGTTTGGTTTTTGTGGGTTCGGTTTGGTTTTTTTTTTTTTCTTTAAATAATCTTCCTCTGAAACTTCTTATATTTGCAGTACTACCATTAAAGTTGTCTGGGGAAAAGTTGAAAAAAAACTGAGCATTTTTTTTTTTTAGTCTGAAAACTAAGTGGTATTTACAAAGTTTTATTGAAAGAAAAAGTCTCAAAAGATTTTATCTGAAGATACCAGGTTTCATTTTTATACTTAATTTCTTTATAAGACTAGTTGGATAGCTGGACCAAAACTAAAATCTTCAGAATTGCTAGCTGCTGTTATGTATCCAGTTCCAACTTGCACCTGAAGATCTCTGCTAAATTCAGCAGTATCTTTCTAAATTTCAGAAACTGAGTGGGATCTGCAGAGTTTTCCAGTGAAAGAGTTGCCATTCCTGTTTCTGTTTCTGCACTTTTATGCAACAGAAATTCAAATATAGATACACTGTAAAAGATTGCTTTCTATGTAGTTGTCGCATAAATGTATACAATTTATATAGTCACCCATATTTTATCCATGTATTCAGTGGAGAAGAACATAGAATTAGTTAAAATTTTCAGACACAGCTAATGTAATTTATTTGCATTTAAAATTTTAATGAGTCTGGAAGGTAAAATGCAGCTTTTCAGACATGTTGAAGGCAAGAAGTGATGAGGTTTTATTACCAGGAAAGGCTTTGTTCTCATTCAATGGCTAGTCTCATGCAACAACTTCAGAATCTTTTGTTAGACTGTCATATCTTCTACGAGCGTGTTGGCTTGTACCTTAATTTTGGAGGAACTTAGCTTTTCATTTGTATGTGTAGCTGATGTCTAAGACCTCTCTGGTTATACTGATCTGTTAAGGAGTGATCCCTTAGTATATTGTAGGATATTGTTGTGAGTTCTTAAATAAAGAAGTGACTTTTCTAGGCTGTCCATAAGAAACATCAAAAATGGCCTAAGAAAGGCTTTGGGAGCTCGTTTTGGGTAATTTTCTTGCCCCATAGGAATAAATGCTTTCTGACAGAGACTCTGCAAAATACTTAGGCAGTTGGAAGCTCTTAACTTGTTTTGAAGGATAGAATAGTTTTTAATACACCAAGTGAAGAAGAATGAGCTTCTATGGAACGTAGCTGACAGTCAGAAGAGGCTGCAAGTTTGTAAATATGATGTGAAATGTTTTATATATCTGGCCAGAAATTGTTATATATGAGAGAAAAAGTTTGGTGGTGCTATACAGTGTGCATTATTACTGCTAATTTTGTGAGAAAGATTTTTTTGCTGTTATTACAAGCTTAGGGCAAGGTGAGGAAGGTGACATGTAGACGGTGTGACTGCATTGGAAATTAATCTTAAAGATGACTGAGAAGCTTCAATTTGGGATTGCATAGCTTCAAGCAAAATTCCTTTAAGGCACTCTTCTGAAAATACTTGCTGCGATTGTAACTTAACATTTTACATTTAATTGTATGTTTACATACTGCAAACTTTTGTATACTTAGTGGTATTGTGTGCAGCTGTAGTGAAAGAATCACGTACCACGTTCTGTGTGTAGTCGATTTGGTTTTGAAGTATTAGTTGTGAGCTTCTGGGGCAAGCTCTAATATTGCTTTAAATCTGTTATGCTGTAGTGTATCCTGGAATGATGCACTACACAATTTTGCAATGATAATCTAATGGCATATAGTCACCGAGAAGTAGGTGCTTTCAAAAAAAGACAGGAGGATTTAAGTGTAAAGAAAACTTGAAACTTCAAACTTTCTGTAAAGAAACTTGAAACTTGAAACTTTCTGTAAAGAAAGCTTGAAACTTCATCTCATCTATTATTTTGGTGGGCTTGAGTTGTCTTACCTAATTTTTAATAGGCTTTTTTCTTCTGCTATTTATAACACAGATACAGGATAATGACCAACTGTAGAGAAAGTGAAGATAACCTGTTACAAACTGCTCCGTATTGTGTGCTGGGGGCAAGGGGAAATCTAAAAAGTGACTCGTTCTGGTCATTTTGTTGTAGTAACTTAGTAGTAACTTTGTTACTGGCTATAAGTTTGTGTGAAATACCATAGAACTACTAAATATATATAAAGCTTATAACAATTTCTTTTCTTTTAAACAGGATCTGTCCCATGCCACCATTGAAATGTACACAAATATTGGAAGAATTCGCTCAGCTAAGCTTGTGGGAAAGGACTTGGCAGAGTTTTATATGTAAATGAATGTTTAAAATGTCTTAAATGCATTAGCTTTCAAAAGTTTGAATATAATCCCTGAGGAAACATGCTGTATTTAAAAAGGAATTTTAAAAAGTACTTTTAAAAATTTAAACATACCCTAAGTTTCAGGCTGTATTTCAGGGAGAAAAAAGAAAAAAAAAAAAAGAAAAAGAACACCAGCAATTTCTTTATATCAAACCTTAATTCTCAGCTCATGATTTATTACTCTTACCTTTAACTGTCCTATGTTCTTTAGCTTGATCTTTTCTTCTAGCGAGAAAAGGGCAATGGGATGGGAGGAGGAAGAAGATAGCTTTGCGTTTACTATAGCCTGCTTTGTAATGTGGCTTCTGACTTATTTCAAAAAGTATAGTTAACTACGTAAGTGTCTATATATACACCTAAGAAAAGCCAGAAAACTTGTTCTTTGCAGAGTAATCAGCTTTGTATTTGAGGTTATGATTGCAAAGTGTTTGTTTCCCCCGCTGTGAAACTTAGTGGTTTTATTCCTAATTTCCAAATATATTTTTTTGTGTTTATCCCTGCTGTTAAATTCCTCTAAATGAACCTCCTGCATTAGTTTTCCATTTCATTTTATTTTTCTGATTTAGAAGAATTTGGGAGTCCTAAGTGGTTTTTTGGGAAAATATGTTTGGGCGTGCTTCTTGCCTATATTCACTAAAGCAGTCTGGTCTTCTAGCTGCAACAGATTCTGCTAAATTAACTTAAATTTTCACTTGAGGGAATAATGTTAGGTTTAGAGACTACCATGAAGTGCTGTGTAGTGATAAAATGGTATTTTCATTGAAGCATTTTCCTGCTTTAAAATTGAGTAAACATATTTTTAGTTAACTGTCAGAAGCTTGAGATGGCTTTTGTCCCATTTGTGGGAGGTAGCTTCACGTCACTTGCTCTGGCTTGGGATAGATCTGTATATGAAGCCTTTCATCGACATAGTATATTTGCAATAATTGCAGTTGTGCTTGCTTAAGTGAATTGCATGAAGGTAGGCTGATAAGTTGATCTGTTAGCGGCACAATAAAGAGCGTAATGGTTCACTGCATCTTGTTCTGCATTCATATGCAATGTTCCTCTCCCATCATCACTTTTTGAAAGTGTGTAGCGAGTTTTCATGGCTGCAGAGGTTCTTACATTGCTCTGTACCCATTTCTTTACTTCTAAAGGAGGAAGAAAAGTCCACAGAAGGCAGAAGTCTATCTTCAAGGAGCACTGAAAACTTACCTTGCTGAGGGCTGGGCATTGCTCGTCACGCATACAAGAAAACAGTTAGCTGAATGTCAGAAACACCTTGGGCAAATAGAAAAGTATCCTCTAAAAGGTGGAGCCAGAAAAATCAAGACGGGAGAAAATGACACTTCTGATTATTTTTCTGATATATCTCTAACTTTTATTTAACAGTGGAGACTGCTAGACACCAGACAGCTGAATCATTTCTTGTTTCCCTTGTTGCTGTTCATTTGAGGAGGGTTGGGTTATTTATTTTTTCATTTTTATTTTTTTAACATCTGGTTCACTTAAGAGCTTTTGCATGTGGTTACTGCTCTCTCTTTTAAACATGCTTAGGCTTTAGAGAGTGGTGCAGCATGTATAATGTGACGTTTGTCATTAGTTCAGCAGATAACATAGAGGTTTTTTGTGATACTGTCTGTACTTCGTCATTATGGAAGTTTTTATGCGGTACTGTTTGTTCATTTGGTAAATATGGCATTATAGTGTGTTCCTATATTAAGGAGCTTGATTTCTGGGCTTGTTTTCTGTAACTGCTACCACTTTTTTCCTGTATCTGACTTGGCAGGACTCTTTTGGTATTTGTAATAGTGACTTTTTCCAAGAGTTAAAACAGAGGCTTGGAAGATGAAAATCATGTGGCTTTGGTGTGGTGTGTGGTGTTTTAATATTTTTTGCTGTTATTTATTTTTTATTTCTGGCTTTGATCTCTTCTTCAGGAGAGTAGGAGTTGTTTGCTTTTAAATCGTGCAAAAGCCTCAGTCTTCAATGTGTGAATGAAATCTCTGTAAATGCCACATAAATGCTAAGCAATACTTGGAGAGGATGATTTGGTCCAATTCTAGTGTTTGACAGGCTTCAGGTTCTTCACTTTGATACTCTCTGCATTATTTTCACACACCAGCTCTATCCGCTACAACTGTATTTGTTTAAATATTAAATCTGTCTGTTTTGCTGTATTGTTGCTACTTTCAAGATAAGAGGTGTGTGGCTGGGGGGAAGGTCTGCTGACTGGCCTTGGGTGTTTTGTTGCATTCTTTTTGGCATTAGAAACGGCACAATTTGAATTCTGCTTTTCATTTTAGGCTCATACGTTGTTGCCTAAATTTGATATCTAAGTTAAGTAACTTGGTTCTAATCTGAACTGTTGTGCTGCATGCAGGACATTTATGTATTACAGCGAAATGGCAAACTTTCATTATTTTTTGGTATTTTGGGGGAAGGGTACTGCTTTCAGTGGTGCCATAGTTATAAATAGAATTCCTCTAAGTGTTCCAAACTGGTGTGGTCAGTTGAACAGAGTGCTTTCTGCAGGACATTTCTTGTGGAAATTGCAAGGAAAGACAGCTTTTGTTGAATGGTCCTTCTAGCTTTTTTAAACTTGTTGGAGGTTTTTTGTTTTGTGTTTTTCTTTGCCTAAGAAACTCTTGTTTTAGTCTCTAAGTGACAATACTAGGAACATTATGGTAGCTGAAAATAATTTGAGCTAAATTCAAATTTCTAGTTTATTTTTGGGTTTTGTTATTTTTTGGGTTTTTTTGTTGTTTTTTTTCTTAGAAATAGGCAGACATTTACAATGTCTAAGTCTCATTTGAAAATTCTTACATCAGTTTTAAACACTCTTAATTTTTTCTGCTTCAGGGCAAATGCTCTTAAAGAATCTCAGCCAGTAATACTGCAGGCTTAGCTAAATACTTAAATGAGCATTTGTATCCCCAGCACTCAAAAGTATAAAGACTGTCTTACGACTTAGGTATGGTAAGTGATGCTGTAACAGCTGGCAGATTCTCAGCCAAGTAAACTGAAATATAATCAAGTACTCAAGTTATTTAGTTCTAAATGTTGGGCAGCATAATGCGACACGGTGGGTCTTTAACTTGCATGCTGCATTGATCTATTTTCAAATGATCAATCTTCTATGCTCACGAATCTTTTTAGATGGGGGCAGATTGCACAGGTTAATAATGGCTCATATTTTAGTAGGTCTGCAAAAAGTAGAGATTCTGCAATGTTCTTAGAGCATAGTAAATCTTCCATTGTTTCTTTTCTAATGGAAGAGTATGGTGATGATAAAAGCAGGTCTTGTATTAAAAGAATGGAAAAGCAGTATTTGAACTGTCTTGTTTTCAGTCAAATTTCTGAATGTTGTAGGTTTCTACCTCATGTTTCCTTAACTTTGTTAGTTATCTTCAAACAAGCAGCCTTTTAGCTGGTGATAATCACTTAACAGAAGATGAACGCAAAAGCTTTTGCCAAGAAATACTAGATTTTGCCAATCAGCAAGCGGAGAACCAAGGTAAGTCTGGTTCTTAAATACTTTAAAACTTAAGCTGCTGAAATCTGATTTTTCCCTAAAAGAAGATTGGAAGGCTTTATCTGATTGGTTTCATTATCTTGTATATAACTTCTGAACCAATGTGGTTCTTGTCATTTCCAGAACATTTATAAAACTTCTGCAGTAATTAAGAATAGTCAAAGATGAAAAGGTAATTAACATTTTCATCCTGAATATTGGAAGGTCTTTGTTTTCCTTCACTTATCTGTTTTTCTGTTTTGACAGCCCATAATTTATCTTGTGTTGGGTTGTTTTTTTCAATTCCTAACTTACCTTTGTCTCTACATTGCTGGCACACAGATGGCAGCTCTGTGATGATTCTTCTTTGGTTTTGACGTTAGACCTGTACCCATCCACTTGCAGCTTATTATTTTGACCATCCTACCTCTTGTCTTGATTCTTCCTGCTGCTTCAGTAATACCTTGTCCTCAGATATTAATCATAATTCAAATTCATATGGAATACTTCCTGTAGATCTGAAGACTGTTCATTTTTATGCAGAAGTTTTTCTTGATGAATGGATGTACCATAAGTAGTATGTTATTTTAGACTTGCTGCTTGATTAAATTTTGGTACTACCTCAATGTTGGTTTTTGGAATCTAGGAAAGAGGATGAAAAACTCTTGTATGGTAAAGCTGACGGTGCAAGGCACCAGTCCAGTCATTACTTCCTTAAACTTGTACTTGCTCTTGATTTATGTATGCTTGCTTTTGATTTATGTGCTCTGGGAAGTTTGTCACTTTATGCTACTGTGTTCGTCTAGAATGTTTTATGTAGCAGTGAAATGTTAAACTTCTGCTTAGACACTATCTCTTAGTTTAGTTGTCTTTAATAGCCCGAGTACTAAAATTCTAGTAGATGTAACTGTTAGGAAACAGATCTCTACATTTTTTAAGACTCACTTATATGCAAGATAAAACTAAAATATGAAAGTATTGATTTGTTGTGAAAGGATTAATTGTGAGAAGTTGTTGATCCATTTAATTCTAGGGGTTAAATTTTTAAGAGAAAAGATTTGCTGATCTCCAGCAGCAGTAGAGAAGAATAAAATCCCTGTTTTTATCTTTCCAGGTCAAAAGGTTTTATTGCCTATGCACTCCTTTGCGCAGTTGAAAACTCTGCATTTTGACCCTCCAAATGCTGTTGTCCATGTAGGTGGAAAGTTGTCTATTGAGTTGACTTTGCTGAGCCAAATGCCCATCCCTGTCCAAGTGGATCAGATTGCCATCCATGTTCACTTCAGCATTGAAAAAAATAGTTACAGAAAAACAGCTGAGTGGCTCACTAAGCACAAAACTTCCAATGGTGTTATCAGCTTTCCAAATGAAATTGCAGGCTTTCCTTTGTCAAGAAACAACTTGCCAGCACTGGAGCTATATGAAATGTATGAACGGAGTCCCTCGGATAACTCCTAGGAATTATCTGCAAAAATGTGCACATGCTACTACGAAGGCAAGAGAGCAGCAGTTCTTTGGATATGCCGTCAGGGCTGACTTTAGAAGATGGGGCTCATGTGTTGAAATGCAACAACTTAATACTGCAGCCAGGGGTCAATAAAATAACCTTCAATACTCAGGTATGTTTTTATAGTTGAGTGAATGTAGAACTCATGAAAGAAGAAGTAAAAGCACTGGCTGAGAGAGAGTGTAGTCCTGGCAAGCAGTACCTGTATTGCTTCCTGTTACAGCTTGGGTCATGCCATACCCCTTGGGGGTTTCTTTTTGTTGTTCTAGACTTTAATTTCCGTTGAAAGAATGCTGTTGTGTTTGTGCCATGATGTACAGGTGACTCTCCTATTTGCAAGCATTTGAGTCAGCCTTCCAAAACTTATTTTAAACATCTTGATTATTGCTGCCAAAAATTAAACTAATAAATTCATATACAAGATAATATACTGCTCACGAAGTCTGCCTTTGCTGTTGAGCTCATTAAGAATAATGTTTAAAAATTTTGATGGGAATATGTTTTCTAGCCCTTAGTAAGTGATTGTGTGGTTAAATTTGGTTGATAACCTGTTCTTCACTGTTGGAGGATGGTAGAATATTTTTTCATTTGGTGGATGTAGTAAACCTGCCTGCAAGAAGTATGACAGAGTTAATCTCAGCTTCAAATATTTTTATTTAGAAGACGTCAGAATTAAAATCGCCCCCATTATTCATCTTAATCACATAGGGAATGAGAAGACAAGAACATAAGGATTCTGTGCTACAGGAAGACTAAATTTGCATGTGCAAACATCTGTGGAAACTGTGTCACCATCCAAATGCCACTCTCAGAAAATGGATTACAGTCCTCCTTGTGCCATATAGCGTTGCATGTGAAACTCCCTCAATTCCTGACTTGCGCATGCACTGCTTAAGTTAGTTTAATACTGGGAGTAATCCTTTTTTTCTTCCCATTCTTCCCCCAGCAAGCTAAGTACTCCCAGTAATTGCTGAAATGCTTAAGGACAGTAGTGCTTATCGCTTCTGTTCACATTGCATTACTACTGGATGCATCGTAAGTGGAGATTGGCAGGCCTTGAGTACCAATCCTGCTGGTTGGTTGTGGTGGTGTGTTGGTGGTTGTTGTTGTTGTTTTTTGGTGTTGGTTTTTTTTTTTAAACTGCCACTCATTCTGAGGCCTTGTACTTTGCTGATCTGTGGTTTGTTTGCTTGTTTTAGTGAAAAGGGGAAAGGCATTTACCTGCCAACTTAGTCCTAGGAAGTGAGATTTCACCATCTGTTTGGCATTCCAGGAGTAGGAGCTTCCGGCTTCAATTATCATGTTGTTCTGTTCTTTGGGTTTCTTGAAATAATTTCTATCTCCTCCTGCCACCCTCATAACCCTTCATAGGCAAGTATTTAGTAGAGTTCAATGCTACAGTAATGAACGTCAGTGGAGGGAAAATTTGAGTGAGAAAACACTGAGAAATTCAGTGCAGCATCTGAATGAGTAACAGGAGATGGGGCAGCACAAAGAAAACTGCAACAGGTATTTCATAGCTGCTTCATTTTCTGAGCATTATCCAGCCTGTGTATTGGAAAAAGTATGGATGGTATGAAGAGGCAAAGTGTTTTGTTGTCATATATGGTATATGTGCCTGCTAGCTTTGCCATTTTCTAATTGGTTTAAATTAGCTTTGGTCCCATCTTGGTCCCTTTTTTAAACTAATTTTGAAATGACAATCTACATATCTGCTTTTGATGATGAAAAATTAATAGCTAGAAAGAGAGCTGACCAGGAGGTTTCTTTAGCATTCTTAGCATATTTTAGGTGCTCCACACCTGAGATTTTAACTTTCTCCTCCCCCCCCGCCTCCTTTTTCTAATTGTTAATTTCTGTCTTGTCATAAACTTTGTTTAGAGTGAAGCTTTCTGTAGGCTTACATAGTCTGCCTTTCCATTCCTCCAGCGCTGGGGCAGAAAGCACTAGAGAGATGTGCTTGGTACATGTGCAGACACACATTGTAGAACCTGTGCGGGTAGCAGGTACCTCAAGATGGAAGTTGAGTTCAAGTCCCTGATGATACAGTGTGAAGTGGCAATACTGTCATTTGAACTACCTGTTGTCATGGTTTAATCCCAGCTGGCCACTCGGCCCCACCCAGCCACTTGCACACTCACCCCGGTGGGATGGAGGAGAGAATCAGAAGGGTAAATAGAGAAGACTTGTGGGTTGAGATAAAGACAGTTTAATAGGGAAAGCAAAAGCTGCAAGCACAAGCAAAGCAGAACAAGGAATTCATTCCCTGCTTCCCATGGGCAGGCAGGAGTTCAGCCATCCCCAGGAAAGCAGGGCTCCATCACCCGTAACGGTGACTTGGGAAGACAAACGCCATCACTCCCAACGTCCCCCCTTCCTTCTTCTTCCCCCAGCCCTATATGCTGAGCATGATGTCATACGGTATGGGATATCCCTTGGGTCATTGGGGTCAGCTGTCCCGGCTGTGTCCCCTCCCAACTCCTTGTGCCCCCCCAGCCTCCTCGCTGGTGGGGTGGGGTGAGAGGCAGAAAAGGCCTTGACTTTGTGTCCTGCTCAGCAGTAACAAAAACATCCCTGAATTATCAGTGATGTTTTCAGCACAAATCCAAGCCATAGTCCCATACCAGCTACTCTGAAGAAAACTAACTCTATTCCGCAGTAACAAAAACATCCCTGAATTATCAGTGATGTTTTCAGCACAAATCCAAGCCATAGTCCCATACCAGCTACTGTGAAGAAAACTAACTCTATTCTAGCTAAAACCAGCATACCTACTAACCTAATTTTTTAGGTTTCTCATTCTTTCAAAGCATTGGGACAAGTTAATGGGATTTGGAGATGTCAGAGGTCTTGGTGGCTGCAAATGTAGTTTTCTGTAAAACAAATGGATGTGTATGTACAACTGGATTTCAGGTGAAGGAGCCTTACTAGAAGAAAGCTGTTAGAGAGTGTTCTGAGCAGGCATTTTGGCTTAGTGGGATCAGGAATCAATCTGAAACCACAGAAGAGGAGATATGGATGAAAAGCTAGATACAACTCTGGTTTAAATTTGCCTTGTTCTTCATGCTTCTGGTGGCTATTTAAGGATGGACTGGTTTACACTTACAACTTTCCTATTTTCCTAACCTTCCTTTCTGGAAAGAACTTTGCATGGGAAGACTGCTCAGTGTGAATCCTACTTATCTTCATATAATTGTTCAAAGCATGACTTATCTGTCCTTAAATGGGAAGATCTGAATATGTTATAATTTTGACAGTGTAACTAGGTAACATGATGAAAGCTTCTCTAGATTTGAGCTGCAGTATTTACAAAATATTTACTAAAAATCCATTATCATTGTAGTAGTATACAATGTGACTTCTATTGGATTACATAGCTGGCCAGAGGATAGAAACTGCTGACAGCTTGTTTTCTGAATTTTCTTACAGTAATGCTTAATTGCACTACTTTTGCAGAAACAGGAATGACTGTGCTTCTAAAATGCAGAGGGAGTTTGATACTTTGTGTAGATCTTCGACTGATGATTAGCATTATTGATGCCAATAGCATCTTCCAGTGTATTTTTTCAAGCTTTAAAAGAGATCAGAAAGCACTGTCTAAATTCTTGAGACCAATATTCCCATCTGGTGTTGAAGTTTAAAGTATGTATATATTATGAAAGACTTTACTCATGCTTTTCTGTTTATAAAGTATTCAAGGGATAAAATTTAGTGACTTTAATGTCAAAATACATAACACTGAATTTCAGTCAGGATTTGCTTTGTAAATAACTGTGTAAGTGAGGTTTGAATGTTAAGTTGTTACAGCTTTTCTCTACAATTTCTAATCTTTAGATTTAATTATACCCAGCATCAATATTTATGTATTACACTTGGTAAAATGGCGTATGGAAAAAGAAAACATTTCCCATTCCCTAGCAGTAGTAGCTAAAAGCAAATAGAATCAAGAATAAATATACTAGCAGATGTTATAAATTTGCTTTTTAGGTTATCAAAAAACATCCAGAATCCCATTATTCAGGGTAAGGGAAGAGTTTGAAATAAAGTATGTATGTATTACTTTTTTATAAGCATTCCCACAGGATGTGGGGTGGGGAGTGTCTGAAATCGATAGCTTGAGCTGAAAGCTGTGCCTTATATAAATGTAGGATTTTATGAATGTTAGCCAAATAAGCACTTCACTGCTTGCTAAATATCATTTCAGTACTTAATAAATATAATTAGATTTTAATGTATGTGGCACTTGGAGGAGGGGGAGGAAACAACCAACAAACAAGACAAAAAAGCACCCCAAAATAATGGTTTGACAGCATAGCTACTATAGTAGTTATTCTGATTGTTGGTACTTATTACTTATGGTGATTTTTTTTGAATCGGCCAGCACTCTATAGAGTTTCTATCTTAGTGGGGCAAAAGGTGCTCCTTTGTGAAAGTCTTGTCACTTAGTCGGAGAATGAGTCTGTCGTTTTAATTTACAAATGCAAAGTGTCTGATAAAAATGAGCTGAAAATATGCTGTTCTTTAGCAGAAAGTTTGTTCTAGAAGTATTTCCTAAATTGAAAAATCCATTCAAATATTTTTCTTCAAAGGCCAAAGAACCTGGGACATACACGCTCAGGCAACTGTGCACTTCAGTGGGAAAAGTACAGTTTGTCCTTCTTCACATTTACCCAATCGTGCAGTATGATGTATATTCTCAGGAGCCCCAGCTAAAAGTGGAACCGATGACTGGTAGGTACAGTTGCTATGCTGAAGCTGTTTTGATGATTTCTGTTCTACTCTCTTGGGACTAAATAAAGTGTTTTCTGGTTTGCATGTTACTCATTTTTTTGCCTTACTCTTGATTTTGAGTCTCAAATAAATTCTCACCTTTCAAATTACCCATCAAGTATGCTGTGTCAATGATGGCTAGTTTTCAACAACTAATTCCAGTGAGTGGCTCTGAAACATGTAATGTCATGTTAATTTGAACATGTAGTGTCACTTAGATATCAAGTATGGTTTGAGCTGCCACACTGATTAGGAGAAGTGAATATTTCAATTTGTAATTGGCTGAGCTCTGTGTTGGTTCTGTGATACTGCAGTCTCTTTGGTACTTGCAAGAAACGAGTAAGAACTGGCATTCTCTACTAGAGGGGATAATATAAACTTACTAAAATTAAATACTGAATACGTCCACTGATTTCATGGACAGCTGAGCATTACTTGTAGAGTTTATTAAAGTTTATAAATGGAACTTAATAGTGATTTTGTTTTCAGGCTATTAACTGAGGCAGATGAGTTTGTATGCATTTTGTGCTATCATTCCAGTTACAGGGGTTGCAATGTGTGCGAAGGACAGGCATATTGGGTATCAATCAAATTAGCTTCTCTTATGAAATTGATGGTTGTGATTCGGATATTTGAGAGTCCCTGTGCATACTGGCATTCTTGTTATGTTGATTATGTAAATACAGCATGTGGGTATGACTGGCATCGTAGGTGCAAAAATATAAAGCTGTCTACAACCTGGAGTACTTAACAAAAAGCTTAGTAAATTCTTTGGGATTATTGTATTTCACTGAATTCTGTGCTGCCAGTGCTACACAGTGCGTGAGCCAGCTAATCTAAGCCATCCAAGAAACAGTGGTTTTGGTCACTGAAGTTGAGACAACCCGTTTCTCCACCCGACCGTATCTGAGCTAGGTTTGATGTGTTGTGTAACACCAAAACCCCACACTTTTAAGTTACCCTAACATGTGTGACAAATTGTCTGGGAACATTGCTAACAAGCCTTAGCAGTGCATTGTAACTATCAACTGATGAGTACTGGAATCTGTTAACAATTTTTGCTTGCTTCTTCAGATAGCCTTTTGGCTGGCATTCCCCAGAAGGTAAAATTCACAGTGACTACTGGTCACTACACCATGAAGAACGGGGATACTTTGCAGCTCAGTAATGCGGATGCCATGCCTATCCTGTACCATCCGGAGAGCAAGGCAGTGATCTATTCCAACACCAAAGGTAAGCAATAAAGTAAAAATCAATAATCTTTAAATGACTGAAAATTCAGTAATCCCGAAGTAAACCTGTACTTACAGCGTTAAGAACACTGATGCTGTCTTTTTCAGTAGCTGTTATTAAGAACAATTCTAGGGACTTGCAGCTGAGTACTTCAGTGCAAGAAAGGTCTTAAACTTTCACCCTCAAAGTAGTAGTATGAACTTTTCAGCAAACCTAGCTGGACAACTTTCACTTTCATTGATGAAATTCAGCAGACATGGTGAAACTGCTGCTGAGGTGAGCATCTGTCATGATTTCCAAGTGAATCATGGTGATCTCTTATTACTATACAGGCTCTGTTTTGAATGGACCATTTTTATTGTGCAGTAGTTGTAAGCAGGTTTTTATGTAGTGCTGTATGTCAGTGGAGCATTTCCTTTGGCCAGTGTTTCATTTAAACAGATGACATCCTAGTTCCTTTTTTTCTGAGCATAAGTACTCTGTAGTCTCCTCAGTTGCTCATACACAAGCAACTTTTACATAAATAGGAAGAACAGTTTTAACAGATTTGATGAAATTAAGACTAAAATAGACTATACAGAGGCACCCCATGTGTAGTATTTTAAAGGCAGATGATGAATGGTGACCAAGAATACTGATGCATCTGTGTTCAAAAAGTTCTAAGTTTGCTTGAAGTGAAATTATGAGACTTAAGGAGGTGCAGGACATTGTAAAAACTTCGATAGGTGTCGTATGACAGACTACAGTAGCTCTTTATAGCTAGTTTGACGCTTGTTATCAAATTGTCCTCTTAGTTCTTTCTTGAACATTGGAAAGGAGTATTACACAGAACATGGTGGTTACCTTCCTGCAGTTTAAGAAGGATAGAGCGTTACTGTTGGGAAGTTGTGAACAGCAGTGATATTTAAGATGTGCAGATTATAGCTCATTTGAAGAAGTTACCATGGAGTTATACAACATGGTTTCTCATTGCTGTTTTTGCAGACGTGTTGGTCTTGCTAGGAAATGGCACCACATATTTTTCTATGACACTTAACTTTTTACACTAGTTTCATTACTTATTTTCAGATTAAAATGAAAATTGGGAAGGGATAAACGTGGTGTTGTTTTAAAACTACTTTTTTCCCCATTCTACACAACTATAGAAAAGATCTCGGAATCATCATTAAGGATTCAGTCTTCTGAAAAGATCACAAGCATCAGTTTACCGGTAGCTCCTGCATATCATGTGATTGAATTTGAACTAGAAGTCATGTATTTGCCATCAGCCACAGAATCCGCAGTGGAGAAAGAAAATACTACAAATAAAGAAGTTCACAGAAAAAACAAAGAGAAGCAGAAACAGGACAACTGCATGGCTACTGTTGACCAAAAAGTAAGATGTAATTTAAGGTTTTTATTATGAAATCTATTTGATCACAAGGGTATACACTTCATAAAATAGAAGTGGCGGTGATGGCGCGGGGAACCTGCTTGTGTTGAACTAATTTTCCCTTAAAAGATATACATGCAAAAATAATAGCAAATGTTATAAATGTAAAGAAAACATAAATATAAGCAGTAGTATATGCTATGTTTTCTATATTGCCAGTTGTTCCCCTGGCTAGTATTGTGTGTTTTAAAGTCCTAACATTCACAGTTTATATAGGATGAAGGATACTTGTATCTTTGTAAAAGGTGGCATAGTGGTCTTTAAATTCTCCCTACTGACTCATGGGAAAGATATTTCTTCCACTTGCAAAGAATCTGTATGCTGTGTTGAGGTACTTAACGCCGTAGTGTTTCAAGCGGGTCACGTTCCTTAGTTGGAGGTAATTTTTCCTCTTAATTTTCATTATGAAGTGTGAATAAAATAAGTATTATGGAAAGAAGCTCTTCAGCTGGCAGCAAAATGATCTTGAAACCATCACCTTTCACAGTGTTACTCCTTGTTAACATTGACCAAGCGCACTGCCATGTATCCTTGTGTGTGAAGAGCTGGGTAAAAAGGAGTATCTACAGACTAGCATTGCTACAATGTGATGTGACAAAAGATTTTAATTTTTTTTCTCTGCATTTAAAAAAATGTTGTTAAATATATAGGCTTTACAAATGGAAGAATGGCAGCATTCACTTCAGGAGAAATTCTGCAGTTAAGTGTGCTGCCTCAAGTTAAAACAAATATACATTAAATACCTTTTTAAAAATATTTTGAGCTTGTATTTAATATATTAAAGTATTATAAGGACATTTCAGTAATAGATCTTACAGTGATTTATTTCATATTGACCTTTTACCAGAGTATTGTATTAAGATGCTATTGGTATTGTTCAGTGTCCTTTTATCTTTTCTTCTATTCCCCTTCATTTATTTCTAGTCTTCAGAACTGGGTATGTCCTTTTCCATAGGAAAAGCTTCTTCGAGATTTCATATCACGCTCACAGGAAAACAAAAGCCTAATATTTTGTCAGATTAGTTTTTGACATACTGATTTTTTTAAAATTTGTTTTTTCTTCTTCCCCTTCTGGGTGGATTAGATATGGACACTTGCTGAGAAAAGTTTTGTTTAGAAATGAGAAGAAAAGCAAACTTGTTTTTCCAAAGACCATTACGAATAAGAACTTTGTTCCCTTTTTCCTTTAGGTAACCATTGATTGTCCTTGGTCGATTTACTCCACTATTATTGCATTAACATTCTGCATACCTTTTAATGCCAAGCATTCCTTATTGTCAGCTGGCAAACGGTAATGTACTCATTAAATATTTATTGTTTCTTTCTTCTTACAAAATATGGAGCTGGAGTTTCATAAGTAATATTTATAGCTGCCTTTTTTTTTTTTTTAAGTTGAGCTTTTGTCATCTTACACAGCTTCCCGTTGGAAGCTTGGGCATTTCCTCTAGTGTTCTTTCATAGCAATAAAACAAATTTGTGGTTTCAGCTATTTTGGAAATAAGACTACAAGATAAATCAAGCTAGCCTATTTCTTTGTAGTTACTTGTTTTCATTTAATATGAAAGAGAATGTTTTACAGCCTTGTTTCTGTGGACTCATAAGTACTGACAAAAAGCCTGAAAGCAACAAATACACCTGCTATTCTGTTTTTGCTTGAGCTGTGCACTTTGAAAACAATTCTATGGATGCTCACTCTTTCAGTGTTAACTGTCCAACTTTTGTTGAATAAACTGTGTCACGTTTTTCAGGAAATATGTGCAAGTCTGTGTACAGAATTTGTCAGAACTCTGTTTCCAGCTTTCAGACAACAGCCTAAAAAAATCTGCAGACTGTACAGATTTGCAGCTGGTACCTCTGAACCCTGAATCTCAACAGGTAAAGATTCACTTGGTGGTTTATGAGCTTGTTGGCAGGGCAGCTAGATAAAGTTCTTGTTAGTGAAATTATTAGCACTTCTGCACATAGATTTTGTAGTAAGGAAGGCTGATAGCTGATGTTAGGTCAGACCTTTGCAGTCGTCTGAATAACTTTGATTCTTAAAGATGGTTTAGAAGGCATTTACACATGTAGATCTCGGATTAAATTCTAAAACTTGCAAAGATTATTAGATAAGTTTTCAAACTTGTCCGTTTGCCTCATGCAAAGTGCTACATACCTGCTTAAACAACAGCTATACAAATGTGAAATCACTAATATCACTGTTAACATTTAATTTGTTCATCTTGTAGCTGCAGTTTGTCATTAGGTTTTAGGAAAAAAATCAGGTAGGGACTGTTTTCTCATTAAATACAGCTGTGAACTAGTTAAGTTGCAAAACAGTCCCCTTGAATTTTCTTTCAGCCTTGTCTGAACATATCAAACGGGTCATTCTTGGTGCCTAGGAAAAGTATATATGAACATCGTTATTATATTATTAAATATGACTTTCAAATAAAATATTTTTCACATTTACTTGAATGTGATTGATTCTGACAGTGGAATGTATCTATCCTTTTAATTAGATGTGCATTGTTAAAAAAAATTCAGTATTGGTTGTCTGGATGCATATTTTCCCGAATGATTTAACACTAAAGAAAGTAATTTGTTTTTATAAATGATATTAATGCCAGAACAGACCAACATTTGTATGTGCATTTCCACCTCCCTTCTCAGAGGAAGGAAGGAGCTAATAATATAAATATTCTCTTTCAGGTCATATACAGTAAGCAATCAATATTCTTTGTATGGGAATTGAAGTGGACAAAAGAGCTTCCTCTCTCCTTGCAGTGCCTGTTTTCAGTCAGCTTTTATCCAGCTACCTCTGAAGAACAGTCTCTTACCCTGAAGCCGTTCACTTATGAATTCCAAGTGGAAAATTTTTTTGTAAGTACTCTTCAAAGTGTAGCATATGTTCACTGAATATGTTTTCCTAATATATGGAAAGGGAAAGTCAAGAAATGTATTAGAAAACTTCTGTTTACATCATGAGATTGATACCTACTTAAAATCATTGGAAAGCCAGTTTGTTGAACAATAGAACTGAAGCCTGATACGATATGGTGGAATCATATACTTGGCACTGGAATAGGGGCAGGTCAGGGAAGAAACCCCATAACACTTGCACAAGTGTCCTTGATCTAGTTTCGGGGGTTTTTTTCTGTGTTTTTGCCTTCCTGGGCTTGTGCCATGGAGACTGTCCTTGGGTTACTGAGCTGCTTTTTCCCTGCTGGCTTAAGACTCTCCAAAGCAAATTGCAATTTCCAAAAACTCTTTGTTAAAAGCATTTGTCTTGTTTTTTTGTAGTGCTTGAGATGATATCCTCTAATGAAATATTTAGTGTTTTTTAGGCCATTATCTTAAATGTTTCTTCTTTCCTTCTATGGACAAACTTTTTATTCCTTTGATCAGCTAGGAAGCTTATAGGCTAGATACAATTTCCTATTAAAGGAATTCTATCAACTTTAATCTCATCTCTAAATTCAGTCTTGAGTTACCGTTTTTGTTGCTTGGGTAAAAAGTAGCAACATGAGAAGACTCTCATTTGGTTAAATCCCTTTACCTGTTTTCAGTGTTGCTATGTTTTCTACCTGCTTATTAGAAACTGGCATCGAGCAATATTTTAGGTGTTTGTACTGGCATGTAACTAGCATTGGTTGGCACCTGTATCAGCATCTTTCCGGAGTTTTTAGAGAGAACTAACTGCGTTACAGTGGAGTTTTTTGGTAGAAATTTAATTTTATAGTAATTAAAAGTTGGCTGTGATAATGTGAGCACCATTATTCCAGGGACTGTGATGGTGAGAGTGATGTAGTTCTCCTGTATCACTCAGGATTTGAGTGATGTGTCTGGAAAGTGAGGAGCCAAGAAACCAGTAAAAGTTTTTTTACATAGTATGAATATTGGTATCCATTTAGAAGCATTGAAAGGCTGAGTTAAAGAACAGAAGTGGAGGGAAAAATTGTGTGCTCGCTGCTGATATCAAAAATAGATTGAATCAAATTTGGTTTGCCTATTTTCTCAAACTGAGAAGATAATGAAGTGAACGTTACTTATAACTGAATCTTGCATTAAAAAGATTTAATGGATGTTAAATGTAAAGTTAAGTTGTTACTGTATCAATTGTCCAGTTCAACTTAAACACAAGTAAAACGCCCCTTTTTTTCTTGATAACAGCACTGTTTTCTTCCTGACAGACATTGTATCATGTGAAAACTGAAATTTTTCCACCATTGGGGGCAGAGTATTGTAAAACAGGCTCGCTCTGTTCTTTAGAGGTGTCAATCACCCGACTTGTTGACCTCTCAGAGGTTGACAGAGATGAAGCACTAACAGAATCAGATGGATATTGCACAACAAAACTCATGTATGAAGGTAAGAATATTTTTGTTAAGCATATTGACAAAATTCCCCAGTTTTGTCTTGATAGTGACATCTACTGGACTTTCTATGGCATGTATTCTTGTATTGGGAGTATGGCTGCTCAGTAAAGCAGTTGTCATTTTGCTAGACTGAGAATATTTTTTTTTTTTCCTCATTAATCTGTCTTCAAGTGTAATATAAATGCTGTTCAGGCTGGATGGATACTTGCTTGAGGCCCAGCTTCGGTCCCTTTTGTGTAGGGCTGTTTTCTCACCTTGCACAGCTCTTCACACATAGGTGCTGGTGGGCTTTTAGATGTTGCTAAAATACTGATTTAGTGCTCTGAAACTATATTGAGTGTTCTTCATTTTTCAGAAAAGTTCTTTATAGTGTTCGCTCTTTATTCTTGCAGTTGTTGACAACAGTAGTAACTGGGCAGTCTGTGGAAAAAGTTCTGGAGTGATATCTATGCCTGTAGCAGCTCGAGCAACTCACAAAGTGCACATGGAAGTGATGCCGCTGTTTGCTGGATATCTACCTTTTCCTGATGTCAGACTGTTTAAATACCTCCCTCATCATTCTGCTCACTCCATGCAACTTGATGCTGGTAAAGCTATCTTGACTACATGGCTACTTACAGAAATGATTCTGCTTCTCCTGTGTTCTTGTGTAAAGAGGAAAGCAAGGCGAGGATGTATATTGACCCAAGTACCCATAGGTGTCTTTGTTACTTACTTTCACTCACAGTTCTGATTTGAAACTTATAAAATGTTGCTCTAACGAGACCTTTGAATTCGGGTTGCAGCCTTAGTCTGTGAGGAGAAATAATAATAAATGCATTGTTTTCTTATATTTCCTTTAAAGATTATTGTGCAAAATAGTTGTCACTGGATTTATAATCAAGTGAAAAATATTTGCTAACCCTCTAATCCTGCAGTTTCATTGTCAGTAAACTGCACATCTACTGTGTCTTCATTAGCTTTGGAATTTTTTTCCCAGTTTTTGAAAGGATTAAGTATGAAATAAAATAACTGCTGAAAATTTGTGGCATATAAACCACATTAGATAGAGAGTCTAAATTACCACAGCCACCTAGACTATTTATCTGCACTGTCGAGTAGTTCCAGAGCTGTAGTGAGAATTCATTCGTACAAGCAGCTTACCGTTTGTCAGCAGAGCTCGAGGAACTGCCATTGTGCCCCCTTCTAGCCTGTGACAAATGTGAGGTAATGCTACTTAAATTTTCCTTAGAAACCAATATAATCCATTCTGTTACATCTAGCCAAAAGTGTGCGCAGACTCTGACCTCAGCAGAGGTGATCAGTAACTGTTAACGTGGTAAGCTGGCTGTGCGTCTGAGCTCTGAAATGATTTTTAAGAAGTTTAATCACTCCGTAGAATAAAACTGTGGGTTTTTGTTTTAAACAGATAGCTGGATTGAAAATGATAACCTGTCTGTGGACAAGAATGTGGATGACCAAGCTGACAGCAGCAGCGTAAGGAGCAGAGGTAGCTTGCATTCCTCAGCCAGCGGGGAACACAAAGGTTTGCCAATGCCCCGTCTGCAATCCTTTTCATCGGGTCAGGTCTTCAACTGCAGCACGGGGATGCAAATACTTGTCATTCCCAGCAAGGACGACCATGTTCTGGAAGTCAATATCACGTGACACCTCAGTATAACAACAAGGAAAACAAAACCCGTTAGGAACTGGATATGAAAGCACTTTAAAGGATTATGACCTGATTAGTCGTCGTTGTAACATTCAAACTCTAAGGAGACCTATGGCACTCAACATGTACTGGCCATGGAAGCACCAGACAATTGTATCAATTTAAATGTACAGTGAAGCTTGTGTCAGCTAGTTTATATTGCCACTTTAGTAGGTTTTGTGTAAGCTACGGGGTTTTCTCCCTTCAGTCACATCCTGCATCACACACAGGGCAACAAAAACAAAAAATCCAAATATTTGGACCACTTCATTGGTTTTTTTTTTTTTGTCTGGCAGCTGAGAGGTTTGTTTCATGCTTCCTACATATTTTAGAATTTAAAGTTGGATGATGTAATTATCCAAACCTTGGATTTTTATGTAATAATTTACAGGCTTTTCCACACATGTGCCAGAAACACAACAAAGCATACAACAGCACATTCACTGGTGTAACAGTTGCTTTTCTGGTTTGGTTTTTTGTTTGTTTTGTTTTATCGTTGTTAATTCCTGCCACTGCAATTTTATATTAAACTTCCATCGTTTGCATACTTAGATGCATGGAAGAGCTACTGCTATAAACAATCTTAACTGAACAAAATTCCTTAATTTTTTGAGGCTTTCTCCTTCACAGAGTAGACACTGTGATGTCACATATTATATGATTTTGTGGGGCTGGGGGTTGGGTCATCCTCTTGCATAGTTCTTACCAAAGAAAGATATTGATAGAATTTAATAATAAATTATTTGGCTTATTGAGTTCCCAGATTAATTTCTTTTATTACCATTTCTAAGTGGCTTGGTTTGCTGCCCCAATTTTTAAGTTGGGGCAAAAATTTCAGTATGATGTGATACTTGAACAGTCAACCTTTCATCATAAAGGCTTAGTGTAATTATTACTGATTAGAGGCCAGACTTCCGCATTCATGATGGAAGAAAGAGGTTGGTTTGATATAGGAAAGCTTGCAGATGTAGAATAATTGTGAAGCGAAGTTAAAACATGTAACTTAAAGAATTTCATTATTTATATCTGAAATGTAAATACAAAAAATGTAAAAAAAAAAAAAGTGTAATTTTGGTGAATGTTGCAAATCCACCTGTGACTGGAAAAATTACAACTCCTTCTGATGTCCTGCTTCTGATATTGAAACTTGTGCATTTAATGTGAGAATGACCTTTTCTACTTGCAGATCTATAATGGTGCGTTGTCAGCAGACTCCACAGAGGAAAACTGTCCCATATCAAATACTTGTCAGTAAAGCTAAAGTGAGGAACTGCTCGTTAGACAAGTTTATTGTTGTGTTTGGTTTTTTTTTTTTTTTACTAAACTCAGGTTCTGCTAAATTATAAAGGAGAAAAAAAAAAAAAAGTACCTTCTTTCCAAAACGAATCGCAATTAAGTTGAAAAATGAATAGGCACCCTGCACTGGTCTAAACATTTATTTTTAATTATTTTTTATTTAAAAAAAAAAAAGTCTGAATAGATGTATAAAGTAGACCTGCTAGCTGAAAATGTTCTTGTTATGCATCTTCTTTCTGTGAAGGAATGCCCTTTCTCTGTGGAAATCATCCCATTTTATTCTGGATAAAACCCAAAGCATCATTTAGTGCGAATGACTGCTGGGATTCTTTGACTGGAAAAGGTAACAAGTTAGTGACTTTGACACTGCAGGTATTATAATTAATTCCATTTTCATGGTTTGCTATTAAATCATTTTTCACATTGTTCTGTAATATACTGTTAGACTAAACACATTGTACTAAGATTGTTTAATGAAATTGTAAGCGTTACAGTTCTAAATATACATGTTTTAAAAAGAAATCAACTTCTCTGCTGCTGTGATTTCTTCTGTTTTGCTTTTGACTGGAGGAGTGATTGTCTCCTCTGTTTTAGCCAAAGTTACTTTAACAGAAAAATAGTTCCTAAACTTAAATGAGCGGACACACTCAGAACAGCGGGCTAAAGCGTGCTCTTTGGGTATCTGA